TGGAGCATTATTAGCTGATGATGATGTTCTTATAGTTTCAATTTTTAAAAAATATTAATCTATATGTATGTATGTAAGTAGCTCGGTGGCGTAGTGGATAAGCGCCGCGGCCCGCGATCGTTGTCGTTAAGCAACTTTCGCAAGGGTCGGTCACGGGATGGGTGACCAAAAAATTATTATCTCGAGCTACTTCGTGCTTCGGAAGGCACGTTAAGCCGTTGGTCCCGGCTGCATTTGTAGTCGTTAATACCCTTCAATCCGCATTGGGCCAGCGTGGAGGGTCATGGCCCATCCTCCTTAACCATCCATAAGGAAGGCCTGAGCCCCTGCAGTGGGGACGTAAAAGGGCTGGTGATGATGTGATGGTGGTGATGATATGTATGTATATCTTCAAGACCGGAACACTTGCGGGATAGGCAAAGAACAAGGTTGATAACATACCTATCCTTAAGAAACACAAGGGAGAATAATACGACACAACATGTGGCCAAACGCAAACTTATGAATACTAAATTAACGACTGTGGATGTAGAAGGAACCAACGAGTTAACGTACCAACCAAAATACTGTTAATATATGTATTTTAGTTCATTATCTATTCAATAATATTATAATGAGGAAATATTTTATTATTTGTTTATTCGTGTGCTTGTATTTAATAGGCACTGAAACTACTTAAACGGTTTCTGAAAATTTCACCTGCGGGAAGCCATATTATAATTTAAAGAATATTTGTCTAAATAAGTATTAAATGAGAATTAAATTGCATATTTTATTTAATGCAGAAAGCAATTATGTAAATTATACATAAAAAATACATAATTCATAATAAGTTTTAAGAAATCGAACGAATCAATACATTATCGTCCACTTTGACAAGCTCGTGTCTTTTTTCATTGCATAAAACCAGATAGAGTAACATTGAAAATGTCTACGTTCAGGCACGGAGCCGGAGTCGGTTAAACGGTGTTTACACATACTGGCTGGCGGCCAGACACATTACTGCCGCTATTTCCGTCTTTTACACTGTCAATGAATAAAGGAAACCGACATGTCCGCGCATACAATGCGAGGAAAGTGTTAATTTATCCAAAAAAAAGTTTGACTTTAATACATTTCTTAAAATTAAACTAGAACAACAACTATAATCGAATTCAAATTTAATGCCGTGGCTTCAGCTAAACAGCTACTGCGCGAAATTGTACGTCTAGAATGGGAGGCTTATTTTATAAGCTAACAGTAGATGGCGCTAGTAAGATTAGGAGTTTATGACAGCTGTCACATGGTCGTGACCGGAGCACGAAATTTTCTTTTAATTTTAATTATATAGTTGTTGAAAAAATTGAGTATTCGAAATATTCAATTCAGAGAGTATTGCGTGCCCCTATCAGGACCAAGTGACAGCTGTCTTAAACCCCGACTTGACTAGTGCCATTAGCTGCCATTGGTATCACATAATGGGCGCGCTAAATTTTATTTATCAAATGTGTCAGCCAATACAGTTTTACGATGTTTTTACCTAAATCTACGTTTTTAATCCGTACTTAAATATAATATTATTACATATTTTGAACAAAAGTATTTAAGTTTAAAACTAAAATTGCATTTCGATATCTAAAAAGAAAATCAATATCGATAGTCGAACATAATTTAAAGTAAGCAGTAGAGAATTTATATCTAATAGGTATTTAGATTTTGTGTTCTTTGCAAATTGTCTAGCAGGAAATTTTAAATTGTCACGAAATAGGTAACCCGCTCCCTTGCAATTTACACGTGCCGTATATATTTATATCTAAAATAATATTAGATCCCACCTGTAGTGAGTACCTGTAGTAATCAGACGGTTCACTCATGGAAATTTGAGATATATATGTTTTTATTTTTCGGCAAAACATCAAAATGAATTTTCGGCAAATATTAAAATTCCAGAGAAACTTACTTCAAATATATGATCAATTAATCCAGCCAAAATAATACATACACTAAACAAAATAAGGACAAATCACTATCTTCATAAACACCGGCACATGGTCAGTTTCACGCTTAAAATAGATTTCGTTACTCTTTTATTTCGAAACGAGAATCATTTGTTCCAATGTTTCATTTAAAGAGTTCTAATCGCACACAAAATAGTTTTAAAGACAACGACCATCAAAGAAGGACGCATGCGTCGGTCCAATACGCGGCGGTACGACTGGCCCAATTTTCTTCGAGCCATCGTAACGAATGCGTGAATTACTGTAGAGCTAATGTTAGGTCGAAAATATTTTCGGTATCCCAAAAAAAAAGAACAAATTTATGACATCGCCTCACGCCAAAATGTGGCTCAAGGTTAGTCGTGTCTTTATTTGATTTTGGGCAACAATTAAAGTAGCGTAGGTCAGCAACGAACAGTTTAAGGGTTAAAGTTTACTTCTACCAAAAAGTTTTATTAAAAGTATTTTGGAATTTCGTTTTTAAGCTCTTAATTTTAATTATTCTAGCGGATGTAGTTCACTTAGTTTTGTTAGCTAATTTTGACTTTGTCACGTGTTTTGTTCCTATACAGATTTTTCAAAACAACAATACTTTTTACGTGTAACATATTGTAAGGCAAGTGTTGACAACTAATTTGTTCTATGTTGGTTATTTTACACAAAAGATTTTGACATCTTCAAAGTGCCAATTTTATGCAATAGATTTTGAAGTTTAATTTGAACTAGTGACGGTGTATTAGGGAGATGAAGTGGTAGTTTTGAATTAACTGAAGTGTTGACTGTAGGAACGTTACTTATGTGGCATATGGTGTTGCTGACGCATTATTCTTTTCCCACGACCAATGAACAATATTTTGTTTTTCTTTTGATTGTAATCTAAGGGTGAGTATAGATTGGTTCATTTCGAACATTTTAACATTTTTCACTAGACGACAAAAAGCAAGCTTTCCTTTTCCTTTTCAAATTAAGGTTAATAGATAGTCTTTTCTTTGTTTGCTCACATCATTCGATGCATAATATGGGATAAGAACAATGTAAAATGACGTTGCTGAATATTCGTTATCTAGAAAATTAAATAGAATTTTATGTTGGTCACATCACCGTGTTGCCATGAAAATTACGCGCCATATTGAATTATGGCACTGAGACACGTAATATCGCGTGACATCAAGATTGTCCCGGCAACAAGCAGTGGGTTAGGCTAATAATGTAATTTTTAATGTCGAATTATGAAAGATAGTGCCGCTATAAAAGTTAACAGGGCCACGCTCTATTTATTCTGATATGTGTAAAGAATAACTTACAAAAGACTGACGAAACTGATAAGCAACTCGAAAGAATGTAAGAGCATAGTAAGAGATCTACTTTCCTAGAAGTCAATTAAATAAGGATTAGCAATGTTTACTAATGGTGTCCGTTCATGTAAAATGTCATCATTGAAAGTGAGAGTACCCGCTAAAAACTATTGCAGAGTACAGTCTGCTTGTACGTTCTCGTAGACTCATAGTAGTGTATCAACAGAAGTTTGGTAACCGTTCGTATTAACTCATGACTGATATGAACGAGAAATCGTAGTCGTTAAGCAACTTTCGCAAGGGTCGGTCACGAGATGGGTGACCAAAAAATTATTATCTCGAGCTACTCCGTGCTTCGGAAGGCACGTTAAGCCGTTACTCCCGGCTGCATTTGCAGTTGTTAATACCCTCCAATGCGCATTGGGCCAGCGTGGAGGGTCATGGCCCATCCTCCTTAACCATCCATAAGGAAGGCCTGAGCCCCTGCAGTGGGGACGTGAAGGGGCTGGTGATGGTGATGATGACTTATTATATCGTGTTTATTTCCTATATTAACGTTTAAATATTCTACGAATATCTTCATAAGCTTACAGAATGCGTTTATTGTCACATATGTGTAATTTAAAAGCCTAACGAGTGCAACGATGTCGCACTCGCGTTTTTCTCAGCTCCTTTAATTGATGTTTATTACAATTATTTTCTCACAAACAATTACACTCATCGCTTTAACGACAAGGACAGAGACGTCTCAATGATTGGATTAATTAAGCTTTAGCGTTCATTTATGGGAATGAACATTTGTTCATAACTATCACCTATATATAGACAGAGTAGGTAGATGGCGTAGTCGATAGGATGGGTGACCAATAAATTATTTTCTTAGGATACTCTCTGTTTCGGTGGATACGTTAAACCGTTGTTCCAAGTTTTAAAAGACGTTGATGTATTGGTTTTCGATAAATCTCCTCGGTTAACGAATCTACAATGAATTATATTCAGAATACAACCAAAGTTGACATTGATTATATAGTTATAAACAGTTTGGATATGTCCCTCTCGGAAGTGCCACATTCGCTTGACCTATCGTCGAGAACTATCGTCCGTCGATGCAATATTAAGAGTTATCCCTCGACTTTTAAGATTATATCTAACTATAGATATAAGGTCTAATGACGCCTATTTGATGGCGTTTGTTGGCCAGCCGTAAAGTATTTCGCAATTTTTTCTTTTTATATTATAATATTTACTCTTTGGTTAATAGTCTTTTGTACTACTGTCTATAATCAAAGTTTGCATTGCATATACTTTACTCTTTGTTGTTTTGCTAAACAACCAAAGAATAATGTAATCAAAAAAAAACGAACATTTTAAAAAAATCCTAAAAACTTAACAACGGGACTAATGTTTCATATTATTAGATTTTTTCCTTGCTTCTTATGCTAAATAATAATTGTGTTAAAAATTTGGAGACTGTGGCTCTGCTAGAAGTATCTTAGAATTTTGATGATGTATGAGTCAGTCAGTGACAAAATTATGGATTTTAACTTGCAATAATTCTTAAAGGTGTTGTTCAAATTTAATGTTATTATTAATATGCTTTGTTTGTGCTGCCCTCTTGGTTTTCTTAAGACTCATAAAATACCGAAGACAGACTACGATGAAAATCACACAGAAATGAATACTCTCAAAAAATGATAAATTGATTCGTATTGCTTAATGTACGACTCACCGAAACTTTGTTGTACTCGTGATGTTGCGTCAAATAGAGCGGTGCACAGCTAGAGGCGGCACTGGACACGCTCAGCGCATCGCCCTCGCTGGTACCCTCCGCCTCGTCCCACCGCCGCCGCCCCCCTGACCCGCTGCGAACACCCCCCACCCCCGCACCCCGCTCAAGCGAAGCATCAAGCGACACATCCCCGTCCACCCTCGGAACACCACTATCGTTTCCACATTCAGACGAAGAACTCTCCGAACCATCAACACTAATACCACTTTCAAATTTAGAACTAGACTCTTTCAATGTATTTGTTGTATCGACATCGACCTCTTCTTCGATCACTTCACTTTTGTATTTAACAGCTTTATTACTGCCAAATCTGAAAGAGTCGCTATGAACCCAAGGTCTTTTACTTGTACTAACGTCAGATTTTACCGTATCGGCATCGGATGATTCGTCGTCTGAATGCAGAGTACGATCGGAATCTTCCTCCGAAGATTCCTCGAAACATGTCACAAACGAAGCGTCAGATTTTATTGTTACATTAGATTGGCACGACTGCAAAGACCAATGACCAGAGTGTCCCGAGGAACTTGATTTAATTTGCGACATTCGATCTGAAGCACATGATTGGCCAGTGGCTGTCGATGTTGAATCGAGGGAAATGACCTCCGCTATATCTTTTATAGAATAAGGTACAGCAGAGGACGTCGTTGACGATAACGTAGAAGGTGACATAAAAACATAGTCAGAACTTTCTATATCATTTTTATTATTATTTTGCTCAATTTTTTTTCTCAAAATTATATCTTCAACATTAATTACGGCGTATGGCTCCTCTAGATTAGATGGCACTGAATTGTTTTTCACTATGCAACTACTTTTGGCTGTCAAAGAAGGAGAAATATTTAAAGTAATGTTTGGTGTTGAAATACTTTTGTTAATAGCAGAAAATTTCACAACTAGATTGCCCATATCTCGCTTCTCAGTATGAAAAATACATTGGTTTGAATCACAAAAACAACGGAACGAAGTTATATCCATTTCTCGATTTTTTCTTAGTGCATCGAAATCAATGGTCACTTTTTCTTCTTCGTGAGGATATATTTCTAGTAAATCTTCAGCACTATTATGGTGTTTGGCATGTTTAGGTTTGCAAAAGCAGATAGCTGTTTCGAAATAACTGTCTCGTTTATTATTACGAATTCTAGAAAAAGGTGGAACGTCTTTATATAAAGTATCTCTATTAAACACATCAATAAATTCAGACACTGTAGGACCACTATAAATACAATGTCCCGTACCTCGAATATGGTAATTTGCTAAAGTTTCTTTTAACATTTCATTATTCCATTTTGGTAAGTCTTTCACTTTTACAGAATTTCTATCAATTTCAATGTTTGTGAATGTTTTATGCCTGAATAACACTTTTCTGTTTTCGGGACTAACAGTTTTTTTGTTTGGCAAAGTACCGGTCATTGATAAATAAATACTTTTTTCATTAGCGTTGTCATCACTGCAATCGACATTTTCTATTGCACTAGCTTCAGTTATATCAGATGAGACAGTCGAGCTGGAAACAGTACGAGATATATCGCGCTTAGCGATATTCTTATATGTTTCAATGTTTTTTCCATGTTTAAATGATTTGGATTTTTGTGATAATAAAATATCTTCTAAATTAGATTCATCTATCATTGAATCTGAAGATAATGTTGAGGTTCTACTACGAGAAAGTGTACTTCCCTCATCCGATTCCAATTGTGCTGACATAAGCTTGGGTATTAGATGTTCTGGTGGATTCTTGACTGGGATCAAGGCCACATTTTCGTATAAAACTTTTTTTTCTATATCATCAAGAAGTTTTGCCGGGAGGTGTGTTCTAGTAGCTGGTATAGGGCGAATATTTTGTTTAGTAATAGTTACATTTTCGTAAATGGTATTATCGTCACTTATTTTACGCACTAACAGATTAGGTCTTGGAGGCGGTTGGGGTTTATTAATTTCACGAGGTTTCTCGTGATCAGAAAACTCATATGATTCATAACATTCATTGACAAAATTTTCTGACTCGTTAGATATAACAGATTTTCTTTTATTGGATTTTACACTACCAGTTACGGCATTAGAATTAATAGCTTCAGTTAAAACGTTTATATTTGTAACAGTTGTATCACAGCTTATTTCAGTAATAACAATAGACTCGGCAGTAGATTCATCACTAAGCTCATTGTTTTCCGATATATTAGGTAAAGAAGTTTTGAATCCTGGACAACTTCGATTACTTCTATTCACAACAGAATCCCTATGTAAGGTACTTACTCTATCTAGAGATATTGTGTCAAATTCATCGTTACAAATTACTTCTCCGGATTCCTCCTTCTTTGAAAGCATTTTGAAAAATTTACTATTTCCAATTAATAATGTGTTTGTATTAGATTTCTGCTCACAGTGTTTTAATTTCACATCGACTTCCGACTCATTAGCCAAATTATTAGTAATGTTAGGAGCAGAGTTGAATTTTGCTTTAAGTCCCAAGCATTTAGAAGCAAGCTTTTTAACAAAACTTTGAGACGAAGTTTTTGTTAGCTGATATGAAGAAGATGGAGATAAGCTAAAGTTATGAGTGTTAGTGTTTTCTGGGGTCTCTGGGGCTTTCCTGTAAAACACATAAAGCAACAAAACTCTAATAAATCATAATAAAACGTAACAATAAATAAAAAAATGTATTAGTAAAAAAGTAAATGGTAGTAAAACTATTGTACAAATCACAAAAACTGACACAATACCACCACCACCAAAAATATATATAGTAAATATCACTTAAAATTTAAATTGTTAACGATTCTGATGCACAAACTAGACTAAGTTTATATTAACTCTTGTCCTATCAAATTGAATTTTCAATTGTAGAACTAAGATAACAGAAGTAAACTTATATTATTATTATATACACAAGATTATAATTATATTTGCAAATTATTTTATTACAGAGCAGTCCAACAGGTTCGACCCTATTGTCAAGTAATTTAGCTGTTTTAATCTACTGATCGGTGAAATTGTTTGATATTATGAAATTTCTTTTTTATAATAAGAGATATTTTCTTGTGAGCTGTGACTGATTCCTGCAGACCTTTTTTTGTAAAAGGGCGAAAGACCATGCTTTTTTGACCTTTCTCGTTACCAACCCCTTGGTCGTGAGTAACAGTTTGTAAACTAGATCTTATCGCCTCTTTAGTTTCAATATCAGTAGTATTTGTCACACCTTCAGCTGTATTTAATTTTCTTGCATCATTCAGAGTTGAATATTCTCTGTTTTCATTTAATTGAACATAAACATCCTCACAATCCAGTAGGTGATTGGAATCTATGTCTTGCATTTTAACCATTTTTGGATTTCTTTTTGGTGTAATGCCGTCATGACCAGGGCAAATACATGGAATTGAACTAGCTTTTTCTTTTCTTTTAACAAACGGATGTGCGTTATTACATAAGGCATTGGGATTTAACTCATAAACATATAAATAATCCAATCTTTCATAAATACAACATGCGTCACCTTTGGTATGAATACTTGAATAATTTTGTAAAGAATCAGGATTTGACCTACTAATAATTTTCGTTTTCCTATCTGTTGAAAGGTGGTAATTATAGTCAAGGTTTTCATAGAACTTCTCCGGATATAACAAAGATTCACCTTGTTTTGGATTACGTGAATAAAAATCTAAAAATTTTAGTCTATGTTCACACATTTTTCCATCATTCGAAACTGCCTGCGATAATTTATATCTGTCCATAGGTGTATAAATCGAACATTGTTCTTCATCGTGTTCAATTTCATTATTAATAATATTCATTGGCACATATAGATCAGTAGAGGATAAACTTATAGGGGCGCTGGAGTAATTTTTATTCACTTCGTCGTCCAAAAAGTTAATTTGCTTGTTTAAACTTAATCTCTGACTGAAAGTGGGATTACACTTTTCTTTAGCAACCAAGCTACTTCTGTAGCGGTCACTTTTATTCATTTCGATATACTCTTCATCTGGATCATTCTCGGAAGAATTATGAGTACTTGAAATGTTATCGAAGTTAGCATCATTCTCATCACACATAAATCCTGTGACCTTGCCTTTCTCTGGTTTAGGTAGCGGCTTGGGTTTTCTTTTCGGGGAAGGTGTTGCATTTGTTATTGTTATGGATGGTGAACGATTTCTAATATTTACTTCTGTTAGCTTTTTCATGAGTTCACACTTAAAATCACTATCTTTCTTCTTAATATTATGTTCAAAATTCGAATCGGAAACTTTTCTCACAGGGTATAAGTTTTCATAAAAAACGGAATCATCATTGTCTTTACTTTCTGAAAACTTTAGAATATCACTGTCGATCTCATCGTGATTTGCGTACAATTGTTCACATCCGTGGTCATCCGTGTTTGATGACGTTTTTGTATCATTGGTATATTTGAAGTTTATTATTTTACTAAATTCTATTATATCTTTTTGCAGTGATGGTGGCAAAGTTCTATATTTTGGGTTTGCAGAATTAGCGTTAGACACTTCAGTGATATCGTTACTGAGTAAATTAAAATTTGATTCAGAAGCATATGTATTAGTGCAAGGTGCTAAGGGATCAGATGCGGGTATATCATACCTGCAAATTGGCAGTTTATAATACAACATATCAATAGTCGTACTAGATGTTAAAATTGTTAGCTTATAATCTATCTCTTCCCACATTATGTAGTCTAACCATTGCAAATTGTCAAATTGTGAACTCTATGTGCTCTTAATACGAAAAATCATCGCAAATCTAATTTATTATGAATATCTTAATTATATTTCGAGATTAGTAGTAAATTTTGATACAAGTGACTGATACTAATTCGGTAATTTTCGTGCTATTGAGACAGGTATCTAAATTGTTACATGTCATAATAATTGGAACAATGCAGCATATTTATTTATTATAGTTTTCATATTTATAAAAAAAACAAGAGAACTAAATTAACGATGGTCACGACAGATACAAATAATTATTATATTGAATACTTTCACATAAGAAAATGCCAACTCGGAAGATAAACATGAACTTTTATTCGCTAATTTTTTTTTGTCAATTATTTTTGATGCGGCCCAACCTAGGACTATTTCACTTTCGAGAACCCTTAGAATGTGCTTTTGCCTGGCATCAAAGAACGTCGCGGCGGGCATCTTTATCCCGCGGAGCCACCTGGCCATCTCCAGCCAAAATCAAAGGCATGGAAGATTTTAATGAGGCTCGCATTCAAGTTTTTGTTTAGCATCCATTTGACAAAGGAAAAACATACACAGCAGTGTTTTTAGCAATAGGACCTGTTATCTTTATGACTCTGTCGTTTATATGTGTTTTGGTTGTTGTACCGACTAAACTTTGCTTTAATATTTCAAAGGTTTTAGAATATTTTAAAGAACCTAAAATTAACTTTTTTTAAACAGAAATCTATTGCTTGACATTAAAACATCAAAATTTAAAAAAGGATTAAGATCTTGATTAACAGAAAAAAATGCATTTTGAACTCAGTAGTTGAGAAAACAGAAGTTGATGAAACAATTTAAAAACCCGTATATGCAAAAGATACATTTTCGCAACATTATTCTAGTCTTACACAATAGTTTTCCTAGTTTATAATTATGTATTTAAGTGATGTCGAAACATACTTTCGTCCCCGAAAACAGATCTCAGATGTGCGACGAGACCGTTACCAAGATAGCAATCAAAGTTCAAAGTTGATACACACCGTGTGTCGGTAATTCAGGCGACTCTCCAATTAAAACCGAACGTTTAGTCGCACTCGCGGTAGATCTTCGCGTAATTACAGAGAGAATTCCTTTGCCTAAAGTCCCATAGTCGGTCTTTGTATAATCCAACGAGCATTTTTAATGTCCTCAAAGGGATCCCTCCGTTTCGCGTGAGCGGTGTGTTAGTATGTTAAAAAGTGAACAAAATAAAATGCATCATGGTTTACAAGATGCTCCCCATTATGACGGTAAAGCATTGTTGACTTCTAAACGGTGATTATTGTTTTCAGCTGTATGAAAGTACAATATTGATAAAACTTTAATCATTTATTTATACTTAATCGATTAATATTATCATAACAACTGAACATTGTGAAATGTTATCTTAAACCCACCACCGGTTAACATAATATTGTTTAAGGTAAAAATTCTTTAATGACTTTCAATAAACTAACTGCCCTGTAATTCTGTAAAATACATAGAACCCGAATTCGAATTCTCTCGGGTGTCCAAATTCACTTCGATAGCGGCATTCGCTCAACCCTAAATTTGGTAATAGCGTTTCTTGGCATAGGTGAAGTGAGATTCAAAATGACACAGGAATAGAACATCTGATACACGTATAAATCAATCAAACTTGTTTTGTATTTTAAAAAAAAAAAATAGAATCAATAGATTTTCAACGCTATATGACGTGAATCGTGATCGGACACATAAGCGAATTCGAATTTGGCTTTGAATTTCTACAGAATCGCTCTGCTGTTCGTTCCAACAAATTTACGAATCAATAAAAAAACTATAATAAGAAAGTTTAAATAACAAAAAATAAATAAAAAAACAAACTGATATTTTAGAATAAAAGCGATCATTAATTTACAAATCATGAGCATATTCGACAATGGAGACTACGTTAATTCTTGTGCATACATACAATTTTAGAAACCATTCTAAACAAAACCGTATAGGTAATATAAAGAACAAGATTTGTACAATAAAAACATTTTTATAGAACGATCTCAAAACTGGTATGCAAAAGAATTATTCTGATACAAACGAAAATCAACTCTATGGCAATGTTAATACTTACATAATACCGGAGGGCGGGTAACCGGTAGGGCTGCAGTCTTGTACGGGAAACGGTGGTAGATCCTCTTCGCTCTCATAGGCGATACGTGATTTACCCTCAAACTCTAGTGGAACATCAAAATAGTTAATCTTCATCGAGTGTTTTTTTTTTTAATTTCATTCACAACAGGTATGGTGGTAAGCAGTGGTCATCAACATTTTCAGCAACTTTATCCAAAGAACTTTATATAAAGCATCAGGTCGCAGAGTCCTGTAGGTACTGCGGTGAATAGTGTCACTATTATAATATTGAAGGTAAAAATGTAAGACGATGCAGCGGTTAACGCGAATTTCAGATGATTTTCAATGTTAAGCTATATTCGCAATGGTCACCCATAGATTGAGTGACCAACATAATATTGGTCCCGGCTCTTTGCGTGACTTTAATCGTTGAGAATAACAATTTATACGTTCAGTTGCGCAAACGTCCATTACCGTTTAATGACACCTTTAAGCTCTAACGAATGTCAAAATTGTATGGGTAATGCCGCTTTAAACAAATGAAAATTTTATGGACGTTTGTGCAACTGTCTGATAGAATTGCAGAACATACTAGATCGACGTGTTAATAACAAACCCTAATGAATGTAACTTACTATCACAGTGCATAACCAACTTAATGGTTCCAACTTATTATGCGTATGTTTATAAACACACTGGGGAAAACATCATACACGTATAACATTGTTTTGATCTTTAGGTAAATAGATGAAGCTGTTTTGTCATATAACGTAGAAACAACGGTACCTCAACAAATGAGACAATAACATTGACAAGACGGATTGGAATATTAAGACGTCACTTAATATTATTTAATTATTATAATATCAGAGAAACGAAGTTATATTATGTATGATATGAGCTACGACAGACAGAAGGCGAAATATTAAAACCACTTGAGCAGGATAGAGTCAAATGTCAAGAGTACAGCCCTCGGTCGAGAAGTCTCGACAGAGTTTGCGATCGCCAATTAACCGAACTCGGCCGCTAAATCATAGCTAACGTACTTTAAAGATTATTTTAAATTTGTACATTTACTGTTATTCGTTAGGCACGTACCAAGTGGAACAACCAGATTAAAGAGATTAGTTAGTTTCCTAGCGATTGAATTTTATAACTTGGTCAGTGAACTACCGCTACAATGTGGAGACTGCACTCCCTGGATTGAAGGACATTGTTTCCGTTATTGACAAAAGCAAGGTTGTGATGGGAACGTGCAGTAAATTATCACTGAAATGGAGATAGCACTGAGAGAACAGGAGAGTCATCCTCCCAAGAGAGGGGTAAAATATATCATATAACAAGCAGATCGTGACTTGCCATGACGCTGAGTATAAACGCTAACGAACAAGCTAAGTGATAATACATTATTGTACTAATGTAAAGACAAATTATAGTTGTTATATTACAAAATTGATGTAACCTAAAAGTACGAAAGAGAAAGACTAACTATAGTTAAAAGAGAGGCAGATTTATTTTTGTGCACTCCAATGTGATGGATGTCGATACCAAATCCACATCTCGAAGACGGAAATCGTTTAAAACATCAAAAACTCCATTGAGCGGCAATTGAGAAATATTGAGGACTTTGAACTTGACTTTGTGAAGAAACTAAATAACTTACCCATCTTCACTACCGTACATTCTATCGGAAATTATAAATGAATTTATCACGGAATGCAAATTATTCACAAAACGAGCAATCTATAGAGAAACTGATAAAACAATGACTGGTTAGAAGCGCTCTTATCTACACTGTAACTCTAGGTGGCACTGCTATTTTAACGTAATTCGTCACAAACAGAACCGGTATAGTATTACGTCATTATAAAATTGGATTTAAATAAAACAAACCCGCTTGTCATCTATTGCTGATGGCTAAATGGGCTGAACTCAAATTAATTGTATGTCAGTCTTATTATTATTATATCTGTTTAAAGCGTGAGGTTTCTACATCTCATTATCAAGATTTTTACATCAATTTCGCTACGTTCACTTTATAAAAAAAACTATCAAATAATCAAGCCTAGTCCTAAATTATTAATATCTAATAATGATGCCATATATAAATGTAACATTAATTTTCCTTAAAATTAGCTTAGCAATTAAAATTAATTCGCTTGGCAGTTACAGTAACTCCTCGGGACATGTTAATTTACGGATATAATAACTATCGAGACTGCTCCTACCTATTGTTATCACATTACTTAAGAATCAGCCCAACCCGTATAAATAGTTACACTAATCACAGACTAAGTTTTAGATGAAACCAGAATCGACATATCATACCCAGAATAATATTTGACTAATAAAATAACGTTTAACTGATGAAAATATCTCATTTGAGGACATCTTAGGTGAGTGCTGTCTAAGAAAACCCACCGGTATTGATAGCTGATTGACCGAGAGTTTAATTTATCTTCATATTGGTTTTTATCTTTCAAAAGTGGGCCTTATTAGACGGCACTAACTTAATATATCTCGGTTACGTAAGACAAACTTATGTAGCATAGGTGTTAATTGCCTGGGGGTTAAATTAAAATTTCATGCGTTTTTATATGGCATCACGGTAACTTTATCTTTAACGTCAATTTATTCAATAGTTCATAAAGAGGGCGCAATTCACACGAACAAGCCGAACAGGAAAAATAACATAGTAATAACACATTACCTCTTATCACCTTCCTGACCCTCCTGGTCGCTTCCTCGGAGTAGTCAGCGAGCAAATCGTAAACAGTCTTCCCTCTCCTATCCACCGCGTTGATATCAGCACCGTTGGACAGCAATATGCGTACCACTGACGCTTTGCCAAAACATGCGGCTTCGTGAAGAGGCGTGCCATTGAACGTTCTTATGTTAGGGTCTATGCCGGCAGCCAGTAGAATCGATACCACATCCCTGAGAAAAATTATATATTCGTTATTATGAAACGAATTTGATAAACCCAAAAATGTCATTCAGTTTTAAAGAATAAAGGAGTAATATATGAGGAAGATTTAGGGTATTTATGTACAAGTATTTGTAATTAAGATTTTGTGTACATTCATGAATAACCAACGTCTATTGTCGAATATGGTGACGTAGAAGGAAATATATCTGGCTAAAATCAGTTTCATGTAACAAATGAAGTTTCCATTTTTCACGCATTAGAAAAGAAAATTACTTTGCATGTTTATGTCAATGTTAAGTATCTGCTAGAGTTGGGCTTTACATTGGGGAAGTCTTATCTAAACTATAAAAGTACGGCTTGTGGACGGATAGGTGGTATACAGTTCCATGAACAGTATACCAAGAAAGTTGTCTACCATTTTTGATAAGTTTCTGTGACATATTATTGTAGTTAGACTAGTAAATGAGATATCATAGTAGAATTATCTTGATTATGATGTCATCATCAGCCCTTTTACGTCCCACTGCAGGGGCTCAGGCTTTCTTTATGGGATGGTTAGGGAGGATCATCATCAGCCCTTTTACGTCCCACTGCAGGGGCACAGGTTGTCCTTATGGATGGTTAAGGAGGATGGGCCATGACCCTCCAGGCTGCCCCAATGCGCATTGGAGGGTATTAACAACTGCAAATGCAGCCAGGACCAACGGTTTAACGTGCCTTCCGAAGCACGGAGTAGCTCGAGATAATAATTTTTTGGTCACCCAACCCGTGACCGACCCTTGAGAAAGTTGCTTAACGACAAATATCGCGGACCGCGGATAACAAACAATTGTAGTAATGGTCAATAATTATATTATTATAACGAGAAATGGGCTTTGTGGTTTCATGTCATTTAAATTAACCACAGCCGTAGTGTCAAATTATTGACCAACACCACCTTCAGACGCAGAAATATTCGGGTAATATAGTCTTTCTATAAGAACAATCGACCTCTGCAAGGTGACTCTTTTATTTTTTCAAGAAGTTATATTTGCTTGTCTAACACAAGCCTCTTGCAATGTTTATTAAATCTTAAATATAAATAAATTATTAAGTATAACAGTATCACTTCTTAAATCGTAACAGGTGATTTGGAAATTAAACTCGAGTGATGTTATAAACGCTACAACAAACCCTAGAACAAACCTACCTAACTCTGTAATGTATTTTTTTACAAATATCCACATAATTATATTAATACCTATATAATATTTACCGGAAATGAACTTTGTAGATTCAATAATCTATTTATAAATAAAAAACATATATCTATCTATACCGTTATTAACAATAAACTTATGGGTTATAAGTTTCTAGTTTGGTAAAATAAAGTTAATGTGTTCATGTCATAATAATGTCTTTTCATTTCGAGGAAAAAGGTTAAACATTTTTAATCCACACAATGGTTGATTATTAGTAAGGGTCATTATATGAAAATAGCAATAAAGTAATCCAGAGGAAAATTAATATCACACTTAAATACGTAGAACAGACTTATGTGACTCAATGTTCTACCACCAAACAGCATGTCATTAAACAATACACTGGTGTAGACGAATTGGTCATTAATTAATTTAAGAGGGTGTGTACACCCAATATGACATAAAATCCTAAGAATGGTAAAAGGTTTTATCATAGTTGATACGGGAGTTTATTCCAAGATAAGTAGCTAAAGTCCCCGTATAATGGTATCTGAGACAATGAAGGGTACATACAAACAGACAGCCAGAAACGAGACAATATATAAATGTCTATTTTCTACATTGATCTGGCTGCGAATTGAATCTGGGGCCTCAGAGATGTCGAAGTGAAATGAAACCGGCGTGCAAACCATTCGGCTTCGAAGACCGTCTAATAAAGCCCACTGTTGTTAAAGCTAAAGGGCAACGCCAGCTCAAAGAAAATTGGTCCCCTAGGCAAAACACTGGAACGACGCTCACATAAAAAGCCACTACAAAATAAAAGTACATGGATTAAAAAGCGTAATTTTGACAGAATAACAAAAGAAATGTATTTTTCATATGTTTACTGCCCAGTGCCAAGGAGTGTATTTCCCTGCCGGCATTTATGTCCTTGGGCTAGATTATAAACAAAAAATAAATATCATTAAAATAAAACAAAAACCACGTCTGCGTGAAAAACAACTAACGGAAAGGCTGGACAAAGATCAAAATTTATGGAACATCATTTATAACATGCAGTCGGAGGCTTGCACAAAGAGAATGATTTGAGTTATTATTTAATGTCATGCCTCCGACTGCATGTTGTGTATGATATTGCATAATTTTTATTTTCTTGTTCCCGCCTTTTCAGTTAGTTGTTTTCTACACAAGCGGGTTTTAAGTTTTATTTTAATTATATATTATTTTTATAATCTAGCCCCAGGTATATCTTTTTAGTTAGACAAATTGCCAGGTGAAAGAGCATAGTCCATATTTTTTACTTTATCATTGGATTAGCTTTCCGGAAGGGCCTGTCCCGCGTGGTCTTGTATTATACATAAAAACCTTCCTTTTGAATCAACCTATCTATGAAAAAAACCGCAACACAATCCGTTGCGTAGTTTTAAAGGGATACATGGACATAGAAAGCGGCTTTTTTTATACTGTGTAGTGATTATTTTTATTAGTATTCCGATAATGATAATAAAGATGTATTTTTTTGGAATCCATTTATTGAGCACTTTAATTTGATATTCATACCGTAGTATTTGGAATAAAAAAATATATATATATATAATGGTGTCGCACAGACGCCATATTTGATTTATTTTAACATCAACTATGTAAGAACACTTGGGCTACTAAGACAAATCAAATGATACTTCAACTATCTAAATCACTTAGCGGTTCTGGATATATGAGGTAAAAAGATTACATATGTACATACAAGATACGTACAAAAAATATAACCCTTGCAGTCCTTCGTCAATTAAAACTGATGAATAAAAGTTTTTCTTTATTAGCTTCATTGCACTCGAGCTTTCAAAGTTTTACATAAATTAGAAGGAAGTAGGAAGAAGTCAATTTCGAGGAAATTATTATATGGCAATATTCTTCACTGGGATACGATTAATGATTCTAAAAATTATAAAGCAAACAATACAAACAACCAGGCTTGCGTTTGCATATATGCGAATGTTATTGTCATTATAACATACTCTCATGCATATTTATGAACGCTAACGAATCCTAACAAACACTCCGTTAGTCACGGTGTTCACGTCTCAATCCCCAAACGTCAACGATAAGTATATTGTGTTCGAACAATTGATTGTTTCACTAGAGTGCTAACAAATTTGGTATATATACTTTACAGCTGACAGAACTTAGCTCTAGAAAATATTATGTTTTCTACATGAAGAAAATTCAGGAACAGTGTTATAAAATAAATGCTTTTATTATTTTAATGAGCCTGAAATGAAATGACCTAATTTGTCTGTCACTTATTGTCGCGTTGATGTATCAAATATGTATGGAATGCCAATAATCATGCTGTTTGTATGGACTATGTATGTTTGTTGGACCGTCAACTATTTACTTGACAAAATGTCAATCATTTTGTAAGCAAAGTGCACCTAGAACGACTATTTTTGATAAAAATTGTGATAAAAGAATATACCATATCATAAAGGATATAACAAGTAGAAGTTGAGGAGGTTAAGCAACCTTAGTGAGAGCCGTTTACTATCGATTTTTAGTTAAATCCCTACAACGCGTACCTAGGGGTCATGATCTATTCTCTCCCTATTCGATTCAATCCGTGGAGCAGGCCTGTGTCCCAGCAATGAGGGCGTTATTAGGCTGTACTGGGTATATAATCACCAGCCCTTTTACGTCCCCAATGCAGGGGCTCAGGCCTTCCTTATGGATGATTAAGGAGGAACCGATAAAAGAGTATATAATAATAAAAATAAATCGAGTATTTCGTTTCATATAACAAACCCGTAATAAATAAAACATTTTCACGGCACAAATTACATTTCCATGAGGTACGTCACAAAATTACCACCGCGTACGAAATCAGCCATTAACGTTACGAGCAAACTCATTGCATATAATGATAACCTAATAAGACAATGACATAAACGAGGAAAGTACAAGCGCCAGAGCCTTATATTATATTAACAAAAGTATTATTTGGTTATTTATTTGCATTGAATAGACTCCGAAACTTCTGGGCTGATTATAATTATTTCCTACGGGAAGCTCCATCAGACGCGAGTAACGTACCTACCTACCTAGGTTATAATTAACGCGGGCGAAGTCGTGAGAAAATAGGTAGTGTTAAATAAAATATATATTAATTATTAATAAAGTTTACATTTCCTTTTTCAATCCGCATAAAAATTTAAATAAACCATTAAAACTTCATTCTACACTACTCAATAATTAAAGTTATTCATTCATTAATTTAATTACAAAAATAGGACAGAATGCAGCACACCTACCCAATTTAGTTCATACAAGTGAAACAACAAAACCATGCCATCACCAAATTATACATAAATAGATGCAGCTCATTTTTACCTGTGTGGCCCATCACATATATTAAAATTCCGAAAATTCCTTGGTATTTTTTTTGCATGATGATTAAAATCAAGGAATACACATGCAATAATTTTAGAAATTCACTAGTTCCATTTCGAGATTATACGTAGCGAAAAAGCCAAAATCACCGGACTCGTTAGTGAGGTAAACAAAGACTATAGGACGGCGTATAATCAAGAACATAGGAAAGCGTCAAAACTATTTTTTAAGTAATAGTTTTATTACAAATCATAAAAATACGAATTGGTCTTTTGACTGGGAATTATTAAGTCATCTCACTTTTGAGATATTAACTTGAAAACAGAATCAATAGCTCATTTATCGACAGTTTGTAACAAAACATTACACTCATGTACATTATATATTATATGTGTACACCCATGTACATTATATATTATTACACCCGTGTACATTATATATTATATGTGTTCCAACAATTTATATGTGTCACCGTTTTCAATCCAATTACAGTGTACAGTGCCGCCACGGTGATCATTTCTCGCACCCGGCCGCTTATAGCAACGTAAATTCGCAGGCACGAAAGCTATCGGTGCGTTATAACGAACGAATGAATATGAATATGAGTCGATTGAGGCACGTATACAGATGCCTTTAAATTAGCATAAAATAATAACGAGGAGTAAATATCTACAAAGATGCCGTTCCGTGGGCGACACAATATTATATACAAATGGTTGACGGAACAATACCTAAAGGTATCGCTGTTACTTTATTTGTAATTAAAATTTAACATGAAAATAAATTATTAAGTGTACAATTGTCTTCAATCTGTAATAGCAAGAAATTCTCTCTTTAAGAAATTATAAATACATATTTCAACTAGCTTTCCACGAGAGCTTCGCCCACGTGGTTTCTAAGAAACCGTCTAGTGGAATAAAAAATGCCTATTTGTTAATTCAAGCTTACAATTATCCATGTGGAAAATTTCATCATCCAAATCTATTGCGTGAAATACATCCTCACAAGCTTCCACATTTATAATAGGATTAGGATTATAGAATATATCATACAGCATATGTCCTAAATATAGTTTTGCTATCAATATCTTTCCATGGTAATAAAATAGATAGATGTTAACAAATCTATATTTAATAGAGATGTGTCCCACTTTCATAATAAAAAAGAACAGTAACACGTGACGCAAAAACAAATGACACTAGTAGATCATGATATCAATCATAAGGCATTAGTGTCCGTTTGACTTCATGAGCTTCTAGTTTCAAGTTATACCGACATTAACATGTCACTCTTTTTGTCAAAACTACAAAAAAATAAAATGCGCTGTAACAATAATATGCAATGAAATATTATTGTTACAGCGAAATTGAAAATTCGACAAGCTTAAATTGCGATGAAATAATCATCCACTGCCACTCTCGTGTTTGTTTCATATGTCATGTTTATTTGTGGTACATTATTTTACTCTTTGGTTTATCAACTTGTGCTTAATAGCGTTTGAGAGCATTTCAGACTCAAGGCACATTAAAAGAAAGCTCATTTTTCTTCATTTTTTCCTATGTATTCCTACTTTATTACGAGCTAATAATATAGTGCTTTTTACAAAAGCCTTATTACATTCATTTAAGTTTATTTTTTATTTGTGACCGCTGTAATAGCTACAGGTAAAACCTATATTAGAAGTTGTTGAAATCAAATCAGTATCTGATTTTAAAGAAACTACTTTCAGGATGTGCGTTAATGCTACACGCTGTATACTCGTATGTAGACAACTACATACATACACATACGATGTTGGCATTATATCTATAAAGATATAATGCCAACATCATAAAAAACAATATTTGATGTACTAATAACTCAAACAAAAATTATGATTTAACTTTTACTGTACTTTCGTAACATAATTATATAAATTTTATAACATTGGGCAATTTAATGAAATCATACATCATACAAGATTTTTCCTTTTTTTTTACAACTTGTGAAGAATTTTAAGCATAACGCGTTTTAGTCATATCGTATTCATGCTAGTGAAACCTGTTAATTGACATTTTTTTTGCAAAACCACAATGGGTTTTACCCGTAGATGTAACTTGAAATTTTATATCGAATGGTGTAATGAACTATTTTTTTTATTGTCCGTTCACAGACGTTACCAGCAATGGTCAATATGGCGATTATAGTGGATTGCGAAATAGGTAGAAGACATATTATCTATAGTTTTGGTGCGGTATTGGCAAATGAATGTTTTAGACGTGTAACAATTTAGGCCAAAACACTACTAAAGACTGAAATCAGGCAAAACGCCAGTTTTCAAAGCTTTACTAGAAATTACTTAATATTAAGAATATAAGCAGATTTGTCGTTTCACCAAACCTGTAACGTTAGATGACTTACAAAGTACTTGCTTAGATAGGCAACGTTTATCTATAATTTTGCATGCTTCAATTCTTCTTCTTTTTTTAATGTATGGCCTCTTTGCATTTACACAATTCCGCCACGTTAGTCTCCTTTACACGTAAAGAGACAATAACAAAAATATATATTTTGAGAAAATAATACAAGAAAAAATATACGTTGTATTTACACGAGCACCCAAATCGTCATTGGTCATATATAAAAAGGCCGAAAATTCAAAAAATCTCATTGTTTATATCTTAATACACTCCTTGATTCTAACTTACTAAATTGATTTTTCTCCGACATTCATTATGGCCAAAGAGTAAATTTATCTGTCACATTACGCAAATGTCCAGCCTTTAGGTGTTAGATTTGGGTATATCTAAGTTTAATGAAAATGGCCGTTAGACTAATTAAGTTTTGTGCATATAGAGAACAAAAGTTTATATGCAGTAGTTATTTTCGTATGCACGTAAAATGGAAAAAATCTATTAAAACTCGTAGAAAATAACGTCGTTATGATTTTTTCTATCCATGTATAATAATTACTACTCGTACGACATAACATGACACCTGAGGATCTATTTCATTTGTCCTCAAACAAAAATTCGGAAAGTTCGAATTGTTTTGATAATGTTTGTAAATAATTATAGAAAAATGGATTTATTGAGAGTCGTTTAAAGTCACACTGTATTGCGATGTCGTCGACGTAAATTTAGTTTTTATTAAGGGATTATACCATATTTCATGTTAAAAACGAATAAAAGAAAGACGAAATCAAAAAGTGTGCATAAAGAACTGGCATACGAAAAGAGAGCGTTTATCACATATGAATTTAATAAGAGAATTAAGCGTTGAGAAGGAAAATTTCCATAATTAAAAATAAATAATCTATCACCCACTTAAGGATATCTAAATAAATAAAAGTTCGTTTTCAAAGAAATAAAGTAGGCCTTGAGGTGTATTGATATGTATCAATACACCTCAAGGCCTACTTTGTTTCTTACTATGTACTCGTACTAAGTACTCGTATACGAGTTATATACTAAAATGCAACAAAATACTCACTTGCGTCCGTTCTTGCTTGCTCTGTGCAACGGTGTTGATGAGAATACTCTCCCCCTACACTTGGGAGGTTTATATGGCTCCACCAGTTGAGGCATCACGCAAAGCAGATGCTGTACCGTTTCCAACCTTCGGGACAAACAAACAAGTTTTAATTACTTTCTGCAAAAGTGCACTCTTACGTCTACAGAGTAAAAAACGTTTGATTTTTATTTTGTACTCTCCCAATTTCATCAAACTTTATCTACCCTTGAAACATAGTCTCAATACTTACTCAATGTCAATTAGTTTATTCAATTACCACATAATACCAAATCAAGAGTACCTACGAACGTCACAATTACAGATCGCGTTCTAGAGTATACATGCAAGAGCGTTTGAGAATGACTAACCTTTTGGTTTAGTATTGAAATGTACATCTATTATTTTGGCCAATTAAATCAGATCCCTATAGTTTGACATGGACCCCCTTTACAACTTTATAAAATACAAGCTGTCTTCCCGCGACTACACCCGCGTAAATAATAGTCTATGTCACCCGCGAATGAATGGGGGCTAACTCATTTGACCATTTACCACTAGAGACGCTAGTGCAGCATGAGGTCTTAAAAATGTCAAATATCATACATTGTCAGTTGACTACGCGCGTTTCTTATCAATTAAACGGGTTTTGCAATTATATTGGAGTCTGAGATTCATTAAATCAATTATGAATTACATACCAATTAATGTCAGTGCTTTAAAACGGATCTAAGAAGAGGTGCAAAATATAAGCGGGATGAAAAAACAGCTAAATCAGCGGGTAGTGTTTATATATTATGATGTATGATATAAGTTCAATCTCGTAGTAAACAAGTTTTAACAAGACCTCTCGAGACAGTCGTGCCATCTGGTAAGCGAATAACGGTAGCCCTCATTAATAGTATCCAATGCAAACAATCAAATTTTTCTATCCTCTTTATGATATTAGTATAGGTGTTAAAGGGTTAGTTGCATCAACTTACTTTAACAATAACAAACATGATAAAGTAACGGTTAAGTAAATTAATCAGTAGCACCATTTGTAGCACCTTTAACTGTTAACTCTAACAGCCCAAGCTTCGCTGGTTAAAGTTATTGTTTTACTATTAGTTATTTTAAAAGAGGATGGTACGCATTCCGCAGTTAATGTTAAAGTCAGCTTGACAGTTATTTTCAAAGTTGACATAAACCTTGATTGCTTTTGTCGTGCAATCCACCCTAAAACATTTTAGGGCAGCTACATGTTTCTTATAAATAGTAATTACTTTTTTTTTTCATAGTTAGAGTGATTCAAAAGGAATGTTATTATGTATAATACAAGAGCACGCAGGCGAAGCTGCAAGCGGAAAGCTAGTCTAACATAAAATTATATCAAGACTTACGAAGTAACACCATTAAAAAATTGCTTCTGCTGCACAACATGCTTAAGAGTCCACTAGATATTTCTTTACTTACATCTCGAGTGTTATCAACTTTAATTAGCATCGAAACTTCTACCTTAACACACTCGAGACAACTAATTTGCGAAGACTGCTAGACCCTAAATTATAACTTAGATCATAATAACCCACTCGACTTTATATTCCTTCCTCGAGATCACTTCGAGTTGGTAACTTTGCTAGAACTTTTAAGATACCTCAGTTTATATAGTAATCACTTGAATACAATACAAGGAAGATTTGAAAAAAATTATGTCACAGAACTAGTTTACCTCTGCAATTTATTTATGCGTGTACATTTCATGAGTACTTTCCCTTCTACATATTGACGACAGCTTTTGCAACATTATAAATACCTAAGTATATTATCAGTGCTTATTATAGCCATCATAATTTTAATTATATAATTAATTATAATATTTCTTGATTTCCTCCACAGTATGACAGATACATTAAAGGTGCAATTGCATTTAAGATGCATGTATACATTATTAGGACTGGTTGAACAAAACTAGTTTAGCAGATCACAAGGGCTCCAATACCAGGAGTATTAGCGGAGTTATACGTAAACATATTTTAGTGATATAATAAGGATAGAATGATATCACTTTCTGCACTATTACTATATTACTATTTGTTCTTGCAAAAGTTCTTATAAGTCGACGGCATGTAACAAATAGGTTCAGTCCACACGCTTTTTGGGATTGCGCACTGAAAGTGTAAAATCGGGTCCCTATTACTAAGACTCTGCTGACAGTGTGTCTGTCATCAGGCTCTATCTCTATACACAGTTGGAATTTTCACAAATAATATATTTCTGGTGTCATGACAACAAATATTAAAAACAGAAAAAATAAACATTCTGACTAATGCGGTAAGTCTTACCTTCCGTATTGTGCAGCGAGATCTAAGGCGCTCTCCTCTTTATTATTTCTCACTGACACATCGGCTCCCTTCGCCATCAGTTGTGCCACAACGTCCACGTAGCCAAAGTGAGCGGCTATAAGCAATGCCGTCTCGTGTTCCGAGGTCTGTGGGGCAAACATGCTTTTATTAATATAGCGCCGAGAAGCACGACTCATGGGGAAACCCCGCTGTTATGTGTGTAATCTCACTGAACTAGTCGAGTTGTTGACCCGTTCGCGTATTTGTGATGATTTTATGTTATATGTGTTGCGCTTATAAGGTAATGTTACAGCGTACGAGAAAGTATAAGTTCAAAATATATATCATATTCACAAACATCAAAAATAAACTTTTTGATAGTCATCTTTTGTTGTTATGCGCACTTTTAAATTTCTAACATAAGTCAATAATCTGAAAGTAAGTTAAAACATAACGTAAGTTAAACTCCGTAAGGTCTAGTCTAGCGAAGTGACTTTCAGGATGAAGCGTGCGCGAAGCCCCACGCATTAACTACGCCACTGTGTCTACGTCACAGAACACTCACCAGCTGATCGATATTGACTGGAGGATTCTTATGGGCCAAGAGCATGGCGACTATCTTGGAGTCCCCCTTCCACGCGGCTAGGTGGAGTGGCGTAGCGCCTTTCTTGTCCACGACACATGGTGACGCGTCAACCGAGAGAAGTAATCGAACTATTTCCCTGTAACAAACTTACTTCTTAAACCCTTTTTACCCTCAACAAGGAACCTGTAAAGGATACGAAACGAAGGAGGAATTTTATAATTCTTCAAAATACACCGTTTACAAGACTTTTTATTAATTCAATTACCTTAATATAAAAGAAAAGTATAATTTTCATTTAATATCTACTACAAACTCAATTATACGAGGCTTTCTGTAAAATAGATAAATACCACGAAGTTCCGCATTAAACGTTGTGTTACAAAACCAAAAAAATTTCATGAGAAAACAATTTATCTCTATCCCGGTCCCGGTTCGATTCCCGGTTAGGTCAATGTAGAAAAAGGACCTTTGTTGTTTCAGACACTCCATAATACAGAGATTTTAGCTACTCATCTTGAAATCTAGCAAAAATCCGTTATTTTATCTATGCATTTATATGAATATCTTACGGGACTCTACTAATTATATAGAATAAATCAGTCAATAAGTAATCTACACATAGCTCTACGCCAGGCTACCATATGACTTATTCAGTTGATTTTAAATCTTTAATTATGTTTAAAACTATACCCATAAAACATTAAAGTTTAAATCAATTGGAGAAATTTGTATAACCCGACGCGTCTTCGACTATACATTACTTATAAAAAAATTCATAATTTAAAAAAAAAACTTACTTGTGACCATTGAGACAAGCATGGTGGAGTGGTGTGTATCCATTATCGTCTTGAACATTAACGCCAGCGCCTCTTCTTAAACTGGAACAAAAAAAAAACAAAAGTAAATAAAAAAGGAAAAAAAAAGGTTCGCAGTCGGTAGGATTCGAACCTACGCTCCCAGAGGGAATCTGATTTCTAGTCAGACGCCTTAACCGCTCGGCCACGACTGCCATACGACTACGGACGAAAATAACTTACACATAATGGAACTGCGGAGCGATTACGTAAAAATCCGACCCAGAACTCGAATTCATTCAAATATCGATTACATTTTTTGTATAAAAATACAAAACAAAATTGATTGGATTATACGTGTCTTAGATATTCTATAACTATGTTATTTCGATATTCATTTCACTAATACTAATATTAGTGAAATTCGATTTAAACAAAATTTATTTAGTAGAATTGGCCCCCCTGATATGTGCATGATTTAATTAAAGTGAAAATTCATTATTAAAGTAAAAAAATATTTTGATCGAAATTATTATAAGACTCACATTAAATTATCACTCGCGTTAAATTAGAACAATAAAAAATAATTATATTAGATCACGATTTAACAGTGGTTAGCGCCTTCGTTCTGCGTTCTGAAGTTAAGCAACTTTCACATGGGCTAGTCATGGGATGGGTGATCAAAAATTTATTATATTGAGCTCCGTTGCCAACTTCGTGGGCACATTAGAAAGGCCTGTGCCTCAGTAGTTAGTAGGTATATTAATAGGCTAATAAATGAAAAAAAAAACTTATGAAAACTTTTATCAAATAAAATAAAATAACCTCATTATTGGTCGGTAGTAAGGCAGAATACAGACAACATTTTTTAAATTCAGATTAGCTTTTAATATAATATTAGTCGATTAATATATCACATCACGTAAAACAAGACAATCACCTGAGTACTATAAAAATAAAACGTCTGCCAAATAACCGTAAGTTGACAACTCGTATGACAAAAAGGAACGATCGAAACAACCTTGACACCATACAAACACGGTCAACGAACTAAACAAAAGTCACACGCTTCGTACATACACAATATTCAGAAACAGTCACGGACTAAGGGGGTAATTTCGGGGCCGTTTTTTCCGTTCTGGAAATGTCAAAAAAGAAGTCATATGATTTTGTACTCAATTTTACAATTATGTAGCTTCTGTGCCTGAATGAGGTTTATTATGAATGAATGAAAGAAAGAATTCACTTTATTCAATTAAAAAAAAATGTGTAACAGGTCTATTCATCATCATATGTCTATGTATATGTGACGTGCTGTCGAGTATCCCTGTTTTTCAACATTGTGATAGTGACGGTGTATGACGATGGATGTGTAATTAACAAGTAGGTATGCAAGAGGAAAACGTATCAGCCACATATAATTAGATCGTATCTATAGTTGAGTATTGTAATAACTTTACAGCAAATATTTTTAATCAATACACGATTTGACTGACGTAAGAATTGTTTACAATAATGGTATTCAAACTTTTTAATTCTTAATTCGTACAAATTATTGTTTATTAATTAAAAATATTTGATTGAATACCCACTCATATCCAAGTAATTACTTCTACTCGATTATAAAATACGAATGTCAGAAATACAAAAATTATTTAAAATTAAGAATAAAAAAAGGCCCCGAGCCCCGGTCGTCTTTTAAAAATTCCGGCACTGCGTCGCAAAGACGACTGTTTAAATAAAGTTATACAGGCGTGGCTTAGCTAAGTAATGTAAAACCTAAAAAAGTCCAGTTATTTTGTAGTAACAAGATGAAATATTAGAACGGTACTAAGCCCTGTTCATATTTTGTCCAATAAATCAAACAAAAATAATACACATTTGAGGAATGATAAATGTTTAGGCAAAATAAAAATTATGTGAAGAAATTTTGCATTCACAATGCTATACTGGATTACGAAAGTTCGTGGGTTCGAATACCATCACAGAGTACTAGGGATAAAGTGGATTTTATGAGCGTTTTTTATTAAGAATATTGTTAAAGTACTTCGATCATGGTAATTAAAGAAGGTACTCTTTATTTTCGGATAACTAGCACGTATCATACTTAATTAAAACAAGGCATTTCTCTATTTTTTTAATCCTTATCTATATCGGGTATAGTCAAAAATATATATTTTATAGGTTATTTAAAATACATAGAATTCTAATCTAGATACAGATATTTCTTTTATTTTTAACACGAAAACGGAAAGCTTTTTTATAAGAAAACTTTAAACTCAAAGGAATTATATTTCTGTTTAAATTTATAATACTCCATAATGATACCGGGTACGTCTAGAGGAAAAAACTTATCTTAATAAGACCGATTGATATTATTAGAAAAGCTTTGAAACTTAATTGCAATAACATTAAATAAGAAAAATAGTGAAGCTATTAATTGCCCAAAGTTATTGCTACGCAGCAGTCAAGCCCCGAAATATTCGAGCGACCGGAAATTGACCAGATTAGACAAGGTTCTAGTTTGGGTATAGTTAGTCGATTTCTTAGAAACGTACCATTTGCAAACCGAAAAATACTAACATTAACTTATAAATAGATGAAGTGATATCTTTGTTTATAATCAAACTTATAGCGATAATGACTGACGTTGGCTATGAAAACAAAACAAAAGTGAATAATGAAAAATAGCTCCAAAACATAAAGTTGGATTATCCCCATTCGAGTTTTACACAAAAGGAAAATAGGTTATTATAATATATTTACACAAATTTGGACCGTCACACAATTTAAGGTATTGTTCTATTTTTGTTATCCGACTATGGCGAACCGATAAGCAGGGTTATGATTTTGGCCTATATGTATATATGATCTTATATTCCCTTATAATTTCGAAACAACTCATCATAACTGGATAAATGAGGTATCATTATATACGATATGACGTTACATTAAATTGGCAACAGAGCCCTCCAGGGGGCATAAGGTAAGAAACTAAAAAAATATATTATTCAATCATTCCATCTAGGGTATTAAATGAAAGGGCTTAATTGCGATTTCGCTTAAATACACCCGAAAATTAATTAGATAAAAAAAAGTACAAACCTTAAACCTGACTATAGCTAAATCACGCCCTAAAAAGTGTGAAACAAGAATACGTTATAAAATAAATTTCTTGTTTCAAACTTTTTAGAGCGTTAACAATTTTTTTTTTTTTTGTTTATCTATAGTTGGTGTCGTTGTCGAAGCGGTAGCAGCCATGAATTTATTAAAACATCGACATAGTAATACAATGTCACTTACCTATCTTTATCAAACATATGTGCTTTCAACTTTTTCGTTTTAAGCCAACTACGTCTAAGATTATATCTGACATCAGATACTTGGAAATCGAAGTTGTTACCACAACACTTCACGGTTTTTTCCTCCATGTCTAACAACAAAAACAATAGAGACAACACTAAACCCTTTCGTCCACGTGTAACTTCCCTATTGAAAGTTCAAATAAGACTAAATCTGGAGAAAGAAATGAGTCACAGGGTAATAAACAAGACATGGAATCAACAGGTTTTGAGACAAGGTGCGATATAATAACAACTCTAGAACCAACAAGTATAAGTCAAACATATGCACTAATTGGAGAAAGACCGCAGTTAGCATAAAGATAGGAACTGGCGCAGAGATAGGGAGTGTTATAGATAAGATAGCAAAGTAGTCTATCATGAATAATGATAACCTAAAATTATTTACAAAGCAGCCTTGAACTAGAATTTTTGTAATTGTTATTAGTAATGGGAAAATATCAGGTTTAAAAAAAACAGGTAAGTAGGAGTTTTCAGGAAGAGTTTGAGATTTGTATACTTTAAAAACCACCGTAATAAGACATAAACGTTTCTTAACTGACAAACCCCGCAACATACCATTGGGAATTTAAAAAAAAAGTTTTTATTTCATAAACGTATATTACAATGGACAAAAACAGGTAGGCCAACGGGCCGCTGCTAGCTAATCATGGTCCGGCTATTACTCATTATGACCGAGTAGGTGGCGTGGGTAATTTTTACCACAAATTTCCTCCAGGAACTTTTTCGCATCTGATGTTTTGTTTTTAAAAATTATTTTGAATAATTTTCATAGTTTTTTTTTGGGTAATAGGTAAAAGTAGAAATCTTATAAAAGTTTGTTAAATTTACTAGATAGCAAATAAGTAACTTATAGAACTTCTGTAACTAAATAAACTTCTTAATGAAAAAAGCGTAAAAAATACGCTTTGTCCCTGGCACTCTGAGATGGAAAAGAGGTTTTATAAGCATTTTTCATTAAGAATATTTTTAAATATATCATTTTCAATGCAAAATTGATCAAATATAATAATTATATAAACTCCTTTAACAATCCACAGACGTAGACCGCACGTGTAGGACAGAGAAAAAATTTTGAAGCCTTATTTCCTAACAGCTAAGAACAAAATTGCGTGCAGTAATGTGATGTGCTGTGGCATGTGTGTACATTACTAATATCAAAATTCCACATAAACTGAAAAAGTATTATAAGAAACCAAATAAACAATTTGATCAGATACATTTAAGATAGGTATGTTACCTCAAAGTTTTACATAATTAAGAGAATAATTTCAACATCAAAGAGTTTTCGTTTTATTGCGATACAGTTTGTTTTTGTAATTGTAACCTTTTAGGCGTCATAATTATCATAATCACCCGCAGAATCTTCAAAAATTATGATACTATTTTAAAATATTTTCAAAATATCAAATTTCACCTCAACCAGCATTGAAGCAGACCAAACTAGAGCTTGTACAACATAACGGACAAACATAACATACACATTAAGAACACAAACATCCATGACACGGTCACAAATAAATGGCCATTCATCACACAGACGCTTGCGGTTTCGAACCGATGATTGTTTTGTGTGACGCTATTCGACAGGCAGTTATAATTTTAAATTACTGTATAGTATCAGAGGATACTGGCGGAAATGTACTACAATCAATCGCAAAACGGTTATGTTTATTTTCCATATCTGCAAAATTTCGAGAGATAATGATCCGTGAGATCACGGAGAGGTAAAATTGGAGACAAAAGATGTATAGAGCTTGGTACTGGCTCCGAGCTTTAATATTGATCGGTTAGGTTGATCTCATTAAAGATTAATTTGCGGGCGGGCGATGTAAAAGAACTTGGCGAATCATTTACATTCCATAGGTGAAGAAGAAAACTAAATATCATAGATTACGAATCAAGATAGTTTAAACACAATTCTGCTATTCTTATTGTAATAGCGGATAGGATCAACAAAGGGACTTTGCAATAGTAAATAAAACCTAATATCCCAACCTAAATCGTCTCCTGAGCTTCTTAAACATATCACCTTTGTCGAAATACGATAGCCAGAACTTCATTATCGTTCACTTTCTTGCACAATCTCACTGCTTTACACATTAGGGCACTAAAACGAGCTTATCAGTGACATGTTCTCCGTTCAAATATTGATTTGAAAATATTTAGAGGAGACCAAACGGAACGTTCAAACGTCGAGCGGTAAGTGACTAACGTAGCAACTTGGTGAATCATAGGCGCAGGCAACAGGTCGGTTCACTTAGAGCTTTTTATTGCGGTATTTTCGCGTAACTGTATTTCCGAATTAGATACTCGTCAACTGAACCGTGGTTTCCATTTTAATGAGAGTAGTTTCTTATCTTGAATGAAAAACAATACCATTTAAAAGTATATCTCTAGATACAGCCAGTGGATGTACATATAAACTTCCTCAAGAAATTTCGCATTTAAAAGCTTGATAGGCACATTTCAATTAAAACATTTAGTGAAATAATATCACCAGTACTCAAAGTTTTTTTTTTCTGATTGCCTTATTATTTTCTTAAACCCTTTGGTTATAAAATGGCTTAACCGTAATATCTCGCTATAAAAGTGTTCAATTTATTGTGATTAAGGCTGCGCCTAAAGGCAAAAGAGAAAAAGAGACGATATCAATGCGTCAATAAAATGTATATGGAGAGGGTGGCGTAACAGACTAACATAAATATATTTAATGTTCTTAATTTTTCCTGTTGGCTACAAGATGACTCACAAATTTATCAATTTACCTAAGACGAAAACATATAATGTAAAATGAACACAATAGTATTTTTTTAAAGTGACAGATATTACTCTCATTACAGATTACAGCTTATTTCAACGTTACCTCTGTGTAAAATACTAATTGGAAATTGGTGTTTGTAAGCTCATGAGCCCACTTAAACACTTTCTTAAGTACTCCACACCAAAATGATGATTGAAATGTAAGCCCACACTTAACTTCCGTCAATATTAGTTGAAATGATTTCTACAGGATATTTCCCACTTTTAAAATTGAACAAGATCGAAACAATCAGCAGCCCTACCGCGTAACCGAAACCCAACTATGGAGAATGGTGAATCTTAGAGCCCAACAATGACCGAACGTACGAATAATATATAAAAATAACTTGTTAAAAATGTATTTAAATCTATACATGATTATAATTATAATATCAACCAAAACAATAACATATCCATCTATATACCAAGCACATTTGATGGTTTTGAACCTTTCTACACTGGGAATAGAAACTAAAGTTGTGAAAACTTGTAAAAGTGCCGCCGAGTATGCAGGCCTGCAGACAGACAAAAGTTCAATGCTCGTTTCTTAACATCGATTGCGTCTGGCGCTCCGCCAAAACACTTCACTCTAATGGTCCGAGTTATCCACTTCCTTAAATAGGTAAGCGTTTTTAGATCATTAATATGTTGCTTTTGATAGAGCAAGAGCTTTTGTTGCGTAAATAAATATTATAGATACAATCACCATCACCCTATTGTTGTCCCACTGCTGGGCAAAGGCCTTCCGTATAGATGGAAGGATTTAAAGGGGAATAGAAAGAAACCCACCAAGCAATCCTGAGGCTACAGGAAAGAGATCTGAAGGGAAGGGAGACCCATGGAGAGGCTGGGCAAATCTCTTCGACATATACAGGAAAGAGGGGTGGGAAGGGTATTCCTGTATCAACGCCCAGCGAGCGAGGTTGGCAGCTACTCCTGCATTCCACGATTATGCCTGACTAGAGTATACCTAATTATTGTATACCAAATCCTACGCCACTCGGGTGAAAGACGAATCTAGTACTCTCGACCTGGAGAACTAGGCTTGCCAGATCCTAGAGATCTTGTTTAACCGAGAGGATATAACCAGAATATAAGGTTTAATGAGAAGGCCTCCAAGGGTCCACTGGGCTAGTACTAGGCGAACTAGTTGGTCGGCTGGGCTAACGGAGAAGAGTCACGCACACTTCTTGCCGCTTATAAGGTACTTAAAAAAGTAATCAAAAAAATCTGTTTAGACCATAACAGATTTTGATTCTCTGTGAAAAACATGGCACTTGTGAAAAATAAAAGAATAGACTTTAGGGCTCAGGTTTCCCATTATTCAAAACCAATTCACTACTTTAGGTTATACAAAAGTTCAAACAATTGGAAACAAAACTTTTATATCATCTCAATGATAAATTTATAGATTCCGAGTTCTTGTTACTTATAAACATAAATCTTTCAAACATTTCTTTTCCATGTGAAAACTCAAAACAAATGCTAAATGGTAATTTTCTTAGTGCCCGACTTAATATTTGATTAGAAGTTCGATCAGTATTGTGCACTGTAAATATCCATTGTTATTGTGTATCCGATCAACAATGGTAAGTGTGTCAGTGAATATTTATGTTTTTAAACATTCATTGTGTATAGTTTTCACAACATCCACATTGAGAAATTAATGACTTTATCTTAAAAATTTTCCTTTTCAAACTTAGGATGCTTTACCGATCGCTATTCCATTTAAGACTTTAATAATTCTACAAAATGTTCAGTTCTTTTAGTGCCATTGTTTCAAAAATGTTCCAGCATTATAATCGATTTATAGTGGATGTCATAAAAGCTAACATAAAAATAGTTATTAAAAATTTATTTAACCATTATTTAACCAAACATCAGTATACATTTGTTACATAATAAACAAGCTGTCCACCAGACTTCACCAGTGTAGACCTGTATGATACATATTAACCTTCCCTTGAATCACTCTGTATATTGATGAAAGCTAATTAAAATCCACTGTGTAGTATAAAGATTGCAGCATACAGACAGTGGGATTCGACTTTATTCTATACTATGTATAGATGTTAATGTATTATATCATCTAAGGTTGAATTTTATTGATTATTATCCATTCAAATGTTCATGGTCACAAAGGCAACCAAAATATTATCATTGTCTTAGTTCTTAGTTCTTCTTCTTTTTAATAAATGGCATTGCCTTTGTGGCTTTCACCAGAATCCAGTGTAATGTCTTGGTTAATTCTATCTATATCTTATCTATCCCTTGCGGGCTAGGCAGAGAGGACCGAACGCCACAATCCTTAGACACATGTTTTGCCTTATCCACTCTCATTATTCTTTTCATTAATACTTAATTAGTATTTAATACAAAATATTAAAAAACAGTACAATTAAATAGCATGTAACTTATATTGCTTGATAAGTGTGTGTGATATTTATGATTGTATATTTAGTTTGACATTTCGAAAGAGTGGCTGTTCACAATTTGAATGTTCAATTGGTAAAGGGGTATGTTAGAAATAAAAATAGTTAAATATTGATTGATTAAAATGGCATCCTGATCCACGCCCCAAGTATATCAGCTCCTTTAGACCAAAGACCAAAATGGTTAAAAAACTGACTATCCCAACAGTTAATATGTATTCCGAGAAAATCTTGTTTTAATGCAATAGTTAAGTGAGAAGTCACGTCTTCATTTAACGTATTGACCTTGCGTCCTATAATAACTATAGGGAGTTAGTGCAAGTATCTACTATCATTACGCCGGCTTCTTTGATAAACAAAGACTCGATTGATCCCACGCTTATAAAACGAAGAAATAGCAATATCTACTATCAATGAATTTAATTGATAAGCAAGTAAACACTACAAAAAGTCGTCGTAATATAGGATTGTAAAAACAAAGGTTTGTATGAGGAAATTGTATGCTATTATGAAATTAATAATATAAACTTGTTAAATGATTACTCTTATTAATTAAAAAGTAGCAAATACGATAATTATTTATAAAAACATGATAAGACCCACCTTGGAAAAGGACCACTCCTTTTCGTTATTTGTCCCAGTATTTTCTCAACAGTTCTCTTATCACCATTACGAGCCGCGTCTAGCAGCTCCTGGCCCTTTCCCATTGCTTATAATAGTTTATTATCACTCACGAAAACAAGAAAAACCCAGATCATTTCAATTTTTTACACTAGAGTTCCTCCACTACACTAACTTCATTGATCGCGCCGCCATCTTTGATTAGAGAAATTGTTGATTTGACATTTGTTGTGCGCTCTAGCGGTAGCTGACGGAATTGATCGATCCGTTCTACTTTCCATTCAGAAAGTAAAGTTAGGTAGGTAGTTTACCTTTTAAAAATATTAAGTACCTATCCAATAGAATATGAAATAACCAATCGGTGCGAAATCAATTAAAATCTATAAGAAAGCACTTCTTCAGCATTGACTTCATCCAATTTTCATCGAGAAATATGCTTTACATTTTAGGAGCAATACAATAAATTGTAGAAACTTCACTACCTATACAAAGGTGATATATAAATATTTGGATTTGCAAATTATTATAACTTATTTTATTTCTACTACTCTTCAGTTTCGGAACGTAGCTGTAGCAATAGTTGCTTCATAAAGAGGTATTAACATTTCGGACTTTATTACAGTAGCATAAAGTCTAATTTGTAGTCATTTAGTGTAAACGAAACGAACTGTCATAATATTCTCTTCAGCTAAATTTATTTTTATAATGTTGATATTGAATTTGTGTGCTTTATCCTTATGAAAATATGTTATTTGTATTGTTATACAGTGCTCATTACATAATTTTTTTCGAGTTCTATGCTCATAAACTTTACAAAAACGACAGTTACGTTCTTTTCTATTAATGTTAGCATTTCCACAGTCGATTAACGTCAACCAGCTGATGTTGACAACAAGGAATATAAAGTAGGGTGTCAAGAAAATAATGTTTTGCTTAATTTAATGTAGTGAGTCTAGTGAAAATGTTATCTGAACAAGCAGTCATACTGCTGCTGTTTGCTTCTTTAGCGAGTTCCCAGAGTAAGTGTTATACTACACTGTTCAGTTAGAAGGTACAACTTCAGTACCTCATTATAACTAACCAAATCGAATGAGACTGTAAAAAAAATATACCTAAGTGCAGAAAATATATTTTTTTATATCTTTATTTTACTTAATGTGTTATTATATCAGTACCTAATCTTAACAAACACATAAAAACGCATGAGACTATTAGAAGTATATGTAATGAAAATACAAATTTTTAAATCATTATTTTGCTTAATGTATTATTATATTCTTAATGAAAAATGCTTAAAAATCCACCTTGTCCCTGGCACCCTGAGCGAAGGCTCGTGGGTCTCAATGACCAGGTGGATTTTTTAAGCATTTTTTATTAAGAATATCTTTCAATGTAGCATTATTCAAATATAATAAGTGTTATTTTATTTTTATTATTGCTTGTTTTAGCTGTCATAACATTCTCCTTGAATAAAACTACTACATTGCTGGATAAAGAATTATTCAATAACTTTATAAACATAAGTGCATTGTCTACTATCCAGTTAGATATCACAGATGTTAATGATAATGTTTCGTTCATTATATTTCAAGTGCATAGCCACATTTATAATGTGACAGTGTCTAATAATTCAAATATGGATAATAGTATAAAAGGATATTATGTTACTGGAAATAATGTTGGCTTATACAGTTCCACCAAGCCAAAAGTGGATATATTTTACATAAAGAATCCCAATGCATTTGATTTGTCATTATTAGTTTCAGTTTATGGGTATGGCGAAAAAGGTATGGTATTTTCCTTTCCTTACTCTGTAGGGTTAAGTTAATATATGTTTACTAGTACTACTTATTTAATCTAAACACACTATAAAGATATTTAAAAATTGTTTTAATAATGAATGAATGAGTGAGAAATAAGTTTTTAAAATGGAATTATAAAAAAGTAGATAATTACCTAGCTGCCTTAAATATGTCATGTGATTTGGAGTAGCATACCACACTATTAAATCAGGTGATTCCACTTTTAAATTTACAATTAGTCTTGTCTATACTAATATCATAAAGAATGGAATGGAAAGATTTGATTGTTTATTTGTTTGCATCAAATAGGCTCTGAAACAAATTTCTTACACCTACAGGTAGCTATGATTAAGCAATTAGTTAAATTATAAGATTGTTTACTGAAGTTCCTTACACTTTTATTTGTACATATCCTAATAACTCAATATTGAAAGCAGAATCAGTTAAATCAATTGTGAAATATATTATTTCTAAGTACTTCTTTTTAGATCCTATACCCGGAGGTTGCAACATGGAATTTCCCATGCCAATTAGTCCATTTATGAGGACTACATACTTTAAGAATTATATCTTTGTTGATGCAGCACCAGCTAGATATTACAAAGATCCGGACTGCCTCAATATAACAAATGTTCATGTGGAATTCTATCTAATGTATTTGCCAGAAAAGAGATATGATGCTGAAACCTACTATAATGGCATTCGAAATATGATGTCATTAGAAAAGATTATCAAGAATAGTTATGCGGTATGTATGCAACTGATGTTAACATTGTCATCCTTTTGTATTGGGGAAAAAACCAGATAATCACACAGAAAGTTTTGGGTAAATCTAAAAATACTGAGGCAGCATTGTAAGGAAATGTTTTATTCATCTGATTGGTAACGGACACAGTAGTGTTGTAACCATGTCTATAGTTTCACTATCGATATAATTTGGTTTTCACAAACAAACTTAACAGTATCATTATCATTATTCAAAATTAGTATAACTACTTCCAATTGAATGAATATTCTCAACACTACTGAAACTACCAATTCTTTTATGAATACTTCTATCATGATATCTATAATAATACTTTTTTCTACATCTATGTTCTACTCGTATATAAATATGAAAATCCAAGTAGAATAATTTCAATCTTCAATTTTATTAGTAGGTAAAAGATTTAGCACAATTCAAAAGAGGTGCATGGTATTATACCTATCTCTTCCTTCTGTTAAGCTGCATGTTCTGGACTGATACCCCAGTCATGATCACTTATTGGATGGTTCACTGACTGGCGAAAGGGCGGTCAGATAACATGGCCCTTTCAGCCCAGGGACCCCATTGAAGTCTGCCTAATAGGATAACGAAGAAGGGTTGGGCTCAGAGTGATCCTTTCTGGATTTCGTATCCCTCCCCTCCTATTGCCATTTCTATATAGTTTTACCTTTCCAGATTCCTAAAACTAGTTGGACCATGCGACGCATGTTAAGCGCGTACTCCGGCACAGGCACCGTTTATGTGGCTGTAGCAAAAGATATTAGCAAACCAGAATATTACTCAGTATATGTGCCAACACATAACTATGCGTGCACATCTCCCGATGATGACAACGACTGCGAAATACTCGGTAAGGAAATTAAAAAGTTTCAGTATCAATTCCAACAGCTTCATTATAGAGGTGCGCATAGTTGCATCGACAAGGTCTTTTTCTCTCAGTTCTTACCAAATTATGTCTTTATGTACCTATATTTTAATATCGTGGTATATGATCTTTTTGACTAGCGCAGCTGACCAGGTTTTGGCCATTGGCTCCTTATGACATAAGCTCAAGGTGTTCTAACTAACGCATAGGCAAATATATAACTTTGACTTCTTCAGTCTTCAAAATGTTGAAATTTTAGCTATCTAATACTAATAAATGTGGCAAAATTTACCTCGTAACTCTTGAAATTGCCAATACCGGATAATCTGCTCTATTTATAGTACATGGACGAGGTTAGTTATTGAAAATATTTAAGATAAAACTTCAAAGTCAACTACTCATAAAAAAGTCATAGTAAAGCAGTAGTCGATTACACCATTTTTAGGATTCCGTACCTCGAAAAGAAAAAACGGTACCCTTAGAGGATCACTTTGTTGTCCGTCCGTCCATCCATTTGGTAAAAACCCTTTTTCTCAATAACGTGTGGAGGTATCCAGCTGAAATTTATAGGTCTACTGTCCTTTGCAGCTGAGAAAGATCAAACAAAACTCGCAAGGGAATCGAAACGACATGGTACTTCCCGTGAACTTTGAACCTGAATCTTCAAATTTGATACCAGATTTTGTATATATTTGCGTGTATATATCGCCAGAACCGTAATTTTTTAGGTACATCATATAATAAAAAATATTTTAATAAATGTCTGCAGGTTTGTGCAGAACCCTCGGTCACTCTCACTTGGCTGATTTTGTTTCAATCTTCTAGTAAATTACGACTTTTGGCATAATTTTCAGAGGACATTTTATCCAAATTCATCTGTGCCGCGTTATTGTTCGTTGGCTTGTTCATGTGCTATTTTGGACATCGGTTCTTCAAAACGGAGATGTTCCTATTTGGAATGTTGAGTGGTGTGCTGATTACTTATATAGTCATATCAATAATGGCAGACTTGGATAAATCAGGTAATCTTTTAAACTTTCGAAATCTAAGGTCCAAATTTTATTCAATTTTATTCATTCAATATTACTTTGTTATACTTTTAGCTCTTTTGTCAGCATCAGTACTATCAGGAGTGTTCTTCGGCGGTATTTGGGTTACTTTCTGGTGGTTTTACGGGATCCCGATTATCGCCGTGACGCTTCCAGCTTTGAATTTGGGATTTCTTTTATCTGCCATAATGTACAACAGATTACCAGGTATTTTATCAATATTAATGTAAAGAGACAAAAATGGTATCTCATATCAGTTCAATACGATAAATAAAGTAAAAACATTCTTATTTGAAAAATAAGTAACCTTTATTCTAAAGATCTATACACTCATAACACATAATTGCTGTAGGGATAAAAGAAGTACTTTATGACGAGTTCAATATCATTTGCGCTCGTTTTAATCTCGCTGCATGAATGGAAATTTTCTTGTGTTGCGTCTGTAAATACGCCTGGATATATATTTAAAACATACTTTACATACAGTTAAAATTGTTCTCAGGGGACATCTTACTTATTCAAGAGAACTTTAATTTCTGGACGCTATTCCTCTTGGTCACGACGCTTTCGTCTATGATACTTGTGTCTATGACTTTTGTTTCCAATATACTTTGCTGTGCTGTACTCGGCGCTTACGCAGTCATATACCCTATTGACTTCTACTTAGGCTCCAATTTAAAGTATATCATAATCAATACAGTGAGACGAGCAACGGTGCCTAAATTCAATAAGGCCGTCCTTCTTGTGCCATTTGAATGGAGAGGTAAGTTTGATGTTAGTTTAATTAAATTTTTTAGCGTTCCGTTTCAAAGGGTAAAAATGGGACTCTATTACTAAGACTGTCCGTTCGTCAGCCACCATACAGGTCACAATACAGGTTATGTATTTCTGTTGCCGCTGTAAAAGAAACTCTGCAAACAGAATAAAATAAGTATATAATTAATAATAATAATGTAATTTTTGCGTTTTTCATAGATGGAAAATTCATCGTACGCGAGTATGACATACACTTATTTTTTCATAATAAAAAAAATATTATAAACTAAACTTAAGTCGCACATTATTTACCCTAGTAGCGTACCTACTACATGCATTGGTAAGGTAAAATAATTTCAAATTGATAGTAGTGATAAGTCATTAAATATTGAAATTCCCATTTTTCTAGTCCTAGCCCTAGATCCCATGCTAATGTAATATCATCGGACCTAAAATTCAAAATAATTTGGTCTCTTCTTTTTCCCGTCGATATTTCATCGTCTCTCTCTAGCAAAAGAGGGTTATGAGCGACAGAAAAAGATAAGGCTACCTATAAAGACGCATTCATTTATGCATTGCCAGGTGTGGCTCAAGCTCAACTTTTAACTGTATTTATAAAATGCAATCTACTGTACCATGTCATACATTTGCAGACGTGCTTATGGTAATAATGTGGATAGTTTTGGCCATATCTGGTTTCGTGTTCCAACATTACCACAATCGCGGTCGGCCTCCGTTCCCGCCGCCTCCAAGAAGTGTCCGACCAGGAAGACCAGAACCAACCTATGGTGCTATACAACACAATAATAGGTATAATTAAAAAATTAAAAGAGTTCAATTAATTGTAGTAATGTAATTAATTAGGGAGGTTAGTTGTGTGTCCCCGACACACCCAATAATAGTGTAATTAGTGATATAGTGATGGTAATTGAAGGGTGATAAAAATAAGCTACGCTAAAGCTACAGCCGTTGCTTTCGCCTGTGTTTTTTGTGTGACATTCAAACAATAATAGCGGCGAAAAAAGCGGTTTATCATCACTCATCAGAATATCAAAACAGTTTTCACTCATTAAATATGCCACAATTTTATTATTCTTTTATGTAATTGAAAAAGAAAATTAATTATTGATTATTATACGACTAAAGAATCAAACAAATGAATTGAAAAATATTAATTGTGATTATTCTGAATTGAATAATCAAATTGAATACATTTGCCAATTTCTAAACAGATTACCGGTTATATAAAGCTGTGATGCATGGAAATCTAGCTAAATAGATTAAGTACCTATCTACTACATTTTGTTTTCGCTTTCAGGAATGCCGAAGTAACAGAAAGCAACGCACCGCGCATACCGTCTGGCAATATCATCGACGAACGAACCCGTCTACTATCTTGGGTTGACTCTACATATCAATCATAAAAATCATAATACTCATGGCTCAATTGAAACCAATACGTCGAATTAAAATAAAAAACTCAATACAAAAATAAGGCTTAGTGGCGTCGTAACATTTTTTTTCATATATTTTCTTTTTTTTATAATTATAGTTGTAATATTTTTCTATTATGTTATAGCACTCTACGTATAAATATAATAACTAATTCTTAAACAAGCAATAGTAGGACCTTTTTTATATAACGCACATCCAGTTGCACAGACGCCCATTAAGTTTTGATGACCACTTTAAGCTCTAATTTTATATCCTTAATGTCGCTTTAATAATGTCATTTTTAATTAACGTTCGTGCAACTGATTGTATATAATAGGCAAAGTTATCGATAATATGTCGTTATGACAAACAACACTATTATTCGTAAAATTGTACATTTACCTTTTTACTTTTCGGTCGGTCTTTTTGGAGTCGGTGCAATTCTGTCTCACGAAAGTATGAGTTAGTATTACGGTTTTCAACTATTATTAAAAGAAATAGGGTATGTCTAGGAGATAAATAGAGTATAATTTATTTGACATTTAAAAACTTTTTTTGTCTTTCGTTAATTTATTAAGTATATATCATATAAACTTGTCGCTCTGACGTTAGAGTATTACCATTTAAAAATACCTGAAGTGTTTCATACATAAAAAAATCATATTGCCTTTTTCTGCCGAATGACTATAATTTTCTAATCATAGCCAGCGTAAATTAAACAGTTAATGTATTAAATTTAAAAGAATCATAATTCCTAAATCATAGCTTTAAAAGCATCTTAGTTGAACGCCTGCTTTAGGCTATATAAAAATATATTATTGAATATTTCCGTGTAGGGTATCAAATGAAAGGGTTTAATTAACACATTTCATATATAAAGTATATTGATAGCCTTTGCATACGATTTTGCTTAAATATACCCGAAAATTAATTAAAAAAAAAAAGTATATAAGATAAGTTCAAAACTAAAACCCGACTACAGCTAAATCACGCTTTAAAAAGTTTAATACAAAATTATTTTATAACGATAGCTATATTATAATAGCAATGACAAAAACGAAACAAACTGTTGCGGCATTTTTTTTTTATTTGCGATAAAATGGCAACTTTACTAAATGTCACGGGTGCACGTCAGGTTACCACAATATGACAAATTTCTGTAGTTGATTTTAAACACTGCCTTGATTGCAATATGATTTAATATGGAGTGAAGAAAATTGTCAGATTTACATCACCTCATATTTTGTTGAGTTTATACTCTTTTAGATTACGGTTTGAAACCGGAGGTCGAGGATCATCAACGGCGTGTGTGCAAGTTTAACGTCACTATATCATATACTAGTGGCCGCCAGCGACTTCGTCCGCGTTTTCCATTATTTCTTCGCTCCTAATAGTTGCAGCATGATGTTATATAGCCTAAAGCTTTCATCTATAAATGGTCTATTCAACACAAAAATAATTTTTCAATTCGAACCAGTAGTTCCTGAAATTAGCGCGCTCAAACAAACAAACTCTTCAGCTTTATAATATTAGTATAGATTTGTTAGTTCTTACGTGGCGCGATCGACGAGACGCATCTTCAGTCAGGTGTGCACCGACCCTTACGGCTTTATATCGCAATATCGCAATTAAGTTATGAAGATATATTTCTTTGCTTAAGATTCCAAGTCAATATATATAGAAGATAATATCCATCAAGGAAAAGCAAAAATAAAAATGAAGTTAGGTAAGTATTTCATTTTCTTTATTTTGAGATTACAAATAGTTTTGTTTCTTAAAACGATAGGTGTTAAGGAATATTTTTTTATAAGTACTAATTTGTTAAGCTGCTTGTTTTTATTTTTTACATACATTTTGTGAAAATCGCACAAGTCTAAGATATTGTATACTGTACAGGACTGAATTTAATGAATAAGTTAGGTACAGTTTAACCGATCATAAAAAAGGTTAAAATTATTATATAATCTTGTCTTAATATGGAAAACTATAATATTCTATCTAGGTCTATTTCAAAGCCTAAAACCCTTATTTCAACTATAAACTGCTGTTATTTAGTGAAAGTCCGTTTTAACGTCTTTGATAAAAACATATAATAAAAAATCTTCATAAAAGTTAGACTGTCATAGCGTAGAGGTTTACATCCGGTTGCACAAACATCCAATTATGTTTAATGCCGCCCTAAGTTTTAATTAATGATCTAAATTTGAAAATTTGTATCGACCCCTTATTCTTGTAACTGTGGCAACTACTGAGGACAACAGAAATTAATTGTTCTCAGAGCTCTGTGGGATGTATGGAAGTTCATGGAAGCCGATATTGACATTTCAAAATTGCGAACCAATGACATAATAATAATAATAATTTATTACACTCAAGATGATACATTGTTTACAGGAGCTTATATTTAAGAGATTGAGTAAACAAATAGCGGCCTTATTAAACAGCAATTTCGTCCATGCAACCTATGGTGAAAATGGATACCTAACGAATAAATATACTAATGGGGAGTAGGTGCAATATTGAGAAGGGATAAATAAATAAATAGCTTTAATATATTATAATCAGTGGTCGGAATTAGGTAGAGTTATTCATGTACTTACACTGATTTCATACAGCGAAAGAATAAAGTGGATATGCCTCAAACCCCGAGATTAATTTTAAAGATCAGAAAAAATCCCGTGATTTTTTAAATAAAAAGTTATTTACTTTTACACAATTTAAACTACTGCACGCACGACGTTGCCAAACTTACATCATTGAAAGAAAGAAATAAAGAAATCCCGGGAAGGTCCACATTAATATCAACATTTCGATGCAAGTACATGAATAACTCTACCTAATTCCGACCTCTGATTATAATAAATAAAATAATGTATACATATGAAATGGGTGAAAGAGGATGAAGATGAGTGATTTAGGCACATTGGAGTTGCTCAGTTTTTCCGGTGATCACGATTTTAGGTTGTCAAATTTCTAATCTAATCAATTAAGTTTCAATGACGACTTAAAATTGAATCGGTAATATCGCTTTCAACTAATGTCATTTGAGTTGGACATTCGTGCAACTCCTGCAACCTCTATGCTGTGACAACGCTAGCCAAGTTCCAGACTGATGTTATTACAAACTATCATAGCTGAACCCATTATTAAATTACTATCTTATCATTCACATGACAATAAATACCGTATTATCTTTAAAAATATTAGTGTTCTCTCTACGCTGTATATCTCTTTGAGTCAGATGAACAACAAATCGTTATTTACTAGCTTTCCGCCAGCGGTTTCGCCCGCGTGGCCTTGTATTATACATAAAAACCTTCCCTCTGAATCACCTTATATATGAAAGAAACCGCATCAAAATCCGTTGCGCAGTTTTAAAGATTTAAGCATACATAGAGATATATAGGGACAGAGAAAGCTACTTTGTTTTGTACTATGTAGTGATGTGAAACTACTATGTTCTTCCGTCATTATTATAATAATGAGGGCATTATAACATAAGCAACAGAAATAGGGTTTTAACAATTCAAACGCTTCATTTCCGAAGACTGTATTTCATTTAATACTATTTTGTATGCTATGTGCGATATCATAGTTATTTTCATCTATAAGAATTTATAATCTTGTATATTTGTCGTTAGAAATATAAGCTCTCTTTTTAATTGATATCACAATGTAAGACTGCTCATGTGATGTATAGATTTATGGCAATATCGTAAAACACTTGTTATGCATGATAATTGCGTTTTATTTCTAATACTGCCTCAAAATCTGTGATTGCCAGCAATGTATTCATTTGGTTATGTATGTTCACGGATTTTCAAAATCTTTTTTGTTCGAAATCTTAAGTAAGGGCCTGAGATGGTCTCATAAGATTTCTAAATGTAATAAATAAAATCTTTTGAAAAATCGACTTCGAAAAATTTGAAAAGTAAAACTCAAATGTTTATGGAAATTTCTTTAAAGTCAATAAGTCGGGTGCTATTGACAAATAAAATGTCCTCCCATATTATTTTATTTTTCCGAATTAGGTTTTATTTTTGAATGATATTACTTTTCTTACGCTTAACATAATATAAGTTCTCTATAGGTACCTACCCTGCAAGAGATCTAATGTGAAGATTAATGTAAAATAGAAAATTATAGTAACGCTGACTGAATCCCTTGCGAGTTCTTTGTATAGACAAATAAATTGGGCCACTTTTATTTTTGATATGTTTTTTTATTTTATTTCTCTTTGGTAATTTCAAAAATGCAATATCCTAATTTTAAAATTAACACAGGTTGTTCTAATTTTAATGTCCATAGATTTAAACGGAGATTCCTGCTTTGACATTAACTATAAAATTCTATAACCTCTATAGATTAACCGTTCAAATCATTTGCATTCATACAAAATAGAATATACGTAAACCAATTACGTGCGCAGATAATCTGGAACAATTGTCCGCTGCATCGGCAGGGGGACCCGCAGGACAACTTTAGTTGCGTGTTTTTGATAGAATTCCAATGAACAAATATTTACAGGATGATGCTTTAAACATATAAGCACGTGACGCATAAAAAATTGAGATAAAATTACGATTATATTAACTTATTTGAAATCACTATTTCGAATCTTTTAAAAACGAAAAATTAATTTGTATGTTTACTGTAATACCTCATTTGTCGCGAAACTAAATTTTGTAACACAAAATAGGCTTAGGCTTTGATTTACGAAAATGTTGGAATTCAAAAATGTTCTCTGAGTAGAGATTTCAAAAACAAAATAAACTAAACTAAGATGATTAGTATAAGTAACCTCATTGAACATTATTCCAATTACTTAACAGTGAATATTATTGTACTTGAAAAACAAACTATAAGTGTTCAATGAAGCAGATATTAGAAAAATATCAAACCATTTAATTGGTTTTGTGTAGTAGTAAACCTTCATATGAGACGTGAATATTGAACATTCTGTATCTTACTTACCTACTATCTGCCTTCC